GTGTGTGTGTGTGTGTGTGTGTGTGTGTGTGTGTGTGTGTGTGTGTGTGTGTGGTGTGTGTGTGTGTGTGTGTGTGTTTGTGTGCGTGCGTGCGTGCGTGCGTGCGTGCGTGCGTGCGTGCGTGCGTGCGTGCGTGCGTGCGTGCGTGCGTGCGTGCGTGCGTGCGTGCGTGCGTGCGTGCGTGCGTGCGTGCGTGCGTGCGTGCGTGCGTGCGTGCGTGCGTGCGTGCGAGCGTGCGTGCGTGCGTGCGTGCGTGCGTGCGTGCGTGCGTGCGTGCGTGCGTGCGTGCGTGCGTGCGTGCGTGCGTGCGTGCGTGCGTGCGTGCGTGCGTGCGTGCGTGCGTGCGTGCGTGCGTGCGTGCGTGCGTGCGTGCGTGCGTGCGTGCGTGCGTGCGTGCGTGCGTGCGTGCGTGCGTGCGTGCGTGCGTGCGTGCGTGCGTGCGTGCGTGCGTGCGTGCGTGCGTGCGTGCGTGCGTGCGTGCGTGCGTGCGTGCGTGCGTGCGTGCGTGCGTGCGTGCGTGCGTGCGTGCGTGCGTGCGTGCGTGCGTGCGTGCGTGCGTGCGTGCGTGCGTGCGTGCGTGCGTGCGTGCGTGCGTGCGTGCGTGCGTGCGTGCGTGCGTGCGTGCGTGCGTGCGTGCGTGCGTGCGTGCGTGCGTGCGTGCGTGCGTGCGTGCGTGCGTGCGTGCGTGCGTGCGTGCGTGCGTGCGTGCGTGCGTGCGTGCGTGCGTGCGTGCGTGCGTGCGTGCGTGCGTGTGTGCGTGCGTGCGTGTGTGTGTGTGTGTGCATATGTGATTAGGTTTAGGTTTTCCTTGGCTGCAGGTACTATGTTCATTCGTCAGCTTAAATGTAATGTGTTATTTAATATAATAGTATGTTTATACTCCAGTTTATTTTTTTTAAATATATTATTTAGCCTGCTCATAATATTTGTCTTTGTTTTACCTAACTATACTTAATATAACAACAATAAAGAATAAGATTTATTTGTAAGATGCTTATATGTTAGATAACTCGTGCGTTGCATTCAATTTAAAACTTACTTCACATATTCAATGATATTTTGGTGGTTTTTTAGGTACCTATTATGTACAATATTTAATTGTAAAAATAAAATGTTGATACTCTTTCTACTCTACATGCTATACCTGTGCTGTGTAGCATCAATAATAAACACTAGAATAGTAAACTTTGTATGGGTGTAATTCAAGTTTAAAGTTCTCCTTTAGAATGGCCAAAGCTTAATTTATTATTAGTTTCAAGTGTTAAAATATGTGCTAAAAAAGTATTTCAATCGTCTTCAACATTTAAGGAAAAAAAAAAGATCAAAGTAACAATTATCTTTTCTGATTTCAATGTACATTTTTACACACTTTCGAACACAAAGTGTGACAGAAAATAGTATATTGTGCAACAAGTGAAAAAAGTACTTTCCCCACATGTTGCACACTATACTTTTTCTACAACTGCACAAATAACGTTATTTTTTCAGCTTTTTCCAATATCTCTGGCGGATTATTATCAAAATCGTCTTATGAAAATAATATTTAACGGACATTTCGATTTTTATCAAAGTACGAATGAAAACTACCTGTTGATTCTACATATAAATGTATGTGGTGTGGGCAAAGTGCCGTGAGAAAAAATATTTCTCACAGTATAGCAATACATGGTTTTGAAATTAAGTAAGCTATGAGATATACATTACTTTTTTCCACGATGAAAGATTCACCGGGCTTTTCTCTTTTCATAACAGGGGTAGTATTCTCGAATGTCGAATACCTCGATTCGCATGCGAGATTAGTGAAATGTCGAATAGCAACTAGGTGATTTTAAAAAAGTGTATTCTCGAAAACAGCATACGACAAATGTCAGGTGAATTCAACACGAGTGGTCTAAAGTGCTCGAATTTAAATTCGTATGCGACTTTGTGGACCGTAAATATGGATGTGGCAGATTTTGATGAAATTAACATTTGCTGGCTATTAAAGAGTGACAGCATAGAAGGAAGAAGTTTGTCTATGTGTTAGTCTATAAAAATCCCTTTTAAATTAATGATGTGTTATTTATCAAGCATTTTCGACTTTATAAGGCAGCGTTTCGTGTTTCTCAAACTTTTTTGGCGACAGAATATTTTTTAAAAGCGAAATATTTGACGGAGCCCTAAACACATTTCTAAAAAAAAGTCCTCAAGCCAGGTCCCTCCCTTTTGTGGCGATAGTACTGCTTGTTTTTTTTTTATTATGACTATTATTTACTTCACGGAGCCCTCACAAAGGCTTTGCGGAGCCCCAGGGCTTCGCGGATCACACTTTGAGTAACGCTGTCTAAGGAGTCAACGCGGCTCTTGATAGATATTGTAACTAGCATGTTATAACGCCCCCAAGTAGAGTATCAGGTATCAGCAGGATGTTTTCGTGACCTATTTTAATATTTCGTTTTCTGATTAGTATTGCAATATTGGTGCTCTTCCATATTTATAGGAAAAAAAAATCGCAGTTTAAAGACATTCTGCTATTTGCTTCAAAATTGTCTAAATTTCTTAGCAAAGAGGGGCTCTAATAAATAAACAGAACACAGAACATCCCAATGAAGTGGAGAGGGGTAGAATGATAACTGTCAATGAAAAAGTCTGGACCATGGAGGAAGGATAATTAAGAGTTGCCGTTTCTTTGAAGAAATATGGCAACAGGTTTGCTTGCAGCGCCACCGGTAAGGGATTTGTCCAACTATTTCTCAGTCGGTAATATAGATACCTGCATATTTTATTTTATTTAAAACTTAGCGGGATTTTGTTTGTAGCTCTACTTTAATTAGTATAACTAAAATTTTGCATTTTTATTGGCATTTTTTACAACACAGACAAGGTGCAAGATGTAACAAAATGCCAATCAAAATGTAAAATTTTATGACCCATAATTTTAGGAAGGGTAAAATAATGTAATATAAAATAATTGTATTATCTATTATATCATTAAAACTAATTTATAATACATTTTCTAAATAAACAATATTTTAATAAAACAACTAAAACTTTCTGTAAACTTGGGTAGGTAACAAAACACATTAAGGAGAACCATCCATATAATCTGAAACAGAAAAAATTCAAAGTAGTATTTTAACTTCATATCATTTTGAATCTCTTTTTTCTTTTAGACATTGTCACAGTTTTATACTTTCATTATAACATTTTATAATTAATAATGGTAGTCCCTTCATCTTTTAATTAGATGTACTTTTAAAAAAACAGATGTCTGCGGGATCAAGCTTTGATTCTTTGATTCGCAAATTTTACTTTGCTGTTTTCTAATTATAAAATAGTTTTTTCTCCCTTGGAGCTAACCATTCACTGGATTGATTTAAAAATCCAAGAGCTAATTATTGTTTTTTAGGTAATAATTATATTTCATTGGATGAAATTTTAATCGAATGTAACTTTCTTTTCACTGGTAATTTGTTTGACGGTATGATAACAATATTACTTTAGTATTACTCTTTACTGTTAATTTAGCTTTCAAGGGTACCAAAGGTAAAGCCAATTTACAGTCTTGTAACCTATAAATGGTTTTTCGCAAGTGAAATGATGAAGTTTATGCGGCATCATTTAGTTCCTTGCTTAATATCGGAAGGAAATAAAAAAATATGTTCTTAAAATGTACATTAAATTGTACTATTTACCTTTATACAAACAACGCTATTACAATTAGATATTATGAATTTATTACGAACAGGACCTGCTAAACACATGTTAAAATATCAAAATATCTTTGCTTAATTTTAAATTTAACATGTTTAACTAAAACTAAAATTAAATAAAAGTACTTACCACGTTTTATTCAGCAACCATAACCATATTGTTTTGTTCAGTTTTGTTCATGGAGGAAGGTTTTGTTATTGTATCGGTTCGAACGGGTGACAATCCCAAAGTCAGATTTACATTGTACAAATAATTGATTAATTCATGTTTTTCAAATAATTGTAGTATTTATATAAATATATAATTTTAAAACAATACTTACCGTGTATTACTTTTGTTATTAAGCGAAATATATTTGAATTATTCAATTATTCAGTGTACTTTAAATTTAAATATCATTTTATTATTGTAAAACGGACTGATATGCGCGGATGTGTTGCGCACTAACCTGTTGATATAACGCGCATATGTTATAAGCCCCCCTGGTCTGGACACTATGCACAATTTCGTTTTGCCCATTTTGTAAACAAAATTCAGGGACGGTTTAACAACATTTTGTGCAAAAATTATAAAATAGTGCATCGAAAAATAATTAACAAGTATAATTTAATACTAAATCGGAATAAAAGCATAAAAAATCATAAATATAAGCAAGATAACAAAGAATTGACGCCAAAAAATCTTACAACAGCCAAAACACAAACAAAAAACAGAGCTGAACATGAACATAATCGCTGAATAAAGTCGATCCTGGAATTTGTTTACAGTGCTTTAGGGCAACCTCTCCTTGTCATTTACGTGTGTAAGAGTGGAAGGCTGAATCACGCATAATTTCTACGCACTCGTGATGGATGCGCAGACGGTACCTTATCGTTCTACCCTCTCTACTTCTTTGGAACATCCACTAATGTTGACAGATGACATAATTTGCTACATTGCCACATAAAATCCTTCGGATTATTTCTCGCTGGTGATTTTTTAGATTCACTCTTTTTTGAGAATACGATTTTTAACAACCATGCGAATTTGGTATGCGACATTTGCCGTGTGCGACATTTTCATGCGAGACTCGAGAACACCTCGAGAATTCTCAGTTCTATAAAAAATACCATGCGAAACATTTGATTTTTCCATTCGATCATGTATTATTTTTCCACATTTCATCTATACTTCTTTCGTGACATCTTCTGAGAAGTAGTTAAACTATTCTGGACACTTTAGAAATTTTCTTCTATGACAATTGAAGTAAGACAAGTGACAGACAGATAAAGCGGAGCCGAGAGCGGAACGATCAAAAATCAATTTTTCCTGTTCCAGTTCTTTCTAAATCTAATTTTAGTTTTTTGTAAAAAGTTAACTGAACATTCAAAGTTAAAAATAACTCTTAATCTGAAACCGAATAAATGTCATAATAAGGATGCTTTAAAGCTACATTTCGCATTTTCAAAGGTAGCTTCCTGCGATTTCTTGCAAGATGGAAAATCCTCGCGAGAGTAAAGTAAATAAAGACTGTATTAATGAGGAAAGAAGACTTTGGATTGGAAATTTGGATCCTAGAGTTACTGAGTAAGTGTTCCTAATTAGTTAAATGCTTACAAATTAAGATTTCATTGTGTGAATTCACCTAGTTTTTCTAAACAACTTGTCTAGAAAACCTTTATATTTTTGTGGTTTCCCAATTTTCTATCCCTATTCTGGATACAATGCAAACATAAACGTGGACCTAGCTACCCAGGTTTTATAACGAGGCAAGGGCATCAAACCCAGATAGCACAACCTTTGCTGAACTTATCTATAATTTTGTGGGCCCTGTGCAATTTTCATGGGCTATTCCATCGAGCTATTTGCTATATTTGTGCAATTTTGTTTAGTTTGATTGAAATTGCATGATAAATAATAGAGTACTATCTTGGGTTTAAGCTAGCACAACTTAATTTATAAAAATCTATAAATTTATAAAAATCACGAATAATGCATAAAAATTGTACAAAATTATAGGTAAGGTTGGCATAGATTGTGCTAAAATTGCTAACTGGAGTAGGGCATTGAGAAATAATATAAACAATAATAAAGCTGAATTATTTTACAAAGAAATTAATTTATAATAATTTTAACTTACACTGTTTTTCCTTTATTGGTATCAACTTTTGAAACTGGTGCAAAAACATGGTGCCATTGAAAAATTTGACCTCATTTTCCATCGAAATGGACCATTCGCAGGCCTACCTAGGGGATATGCATTTGTTACTTATTGTAAAAAACATGATGCCATTGTTGCCAAAGATGCTTTGAACAATCTCTTGGTTGGACAGAAAATTATAACTGTTACTTGGGCACACAGTGTAAATAACGTAAGTAAAACTGTTTCTTATAGAACAGGGATAGAAGTTGGAAAGGCCTACCTAGGGGATATGCATTTGTTACTTATTGTAAAAAACATGATGCCATTGTTGCCAAAGATGCTTTGAACAATCTCTTGGTTGGACAGAAAATTATAACTGTTACTTGGGCACACAGTGTAAATAACGTAAGTAAAACTGTTTCTTATAGAACAGGGATAGAAGTTGGAAAGGCTTTTCGCAGTTCTCCCACTTTATATACAGGATTGACAGTTTCGCCAAGGAGCTAACTGAAGTGAGTGCCGAACATTGACATAGAAAATTAATTTATAGATGCTAATAACAATTTCATGTAAATAGTTTAATAAATTGTGAATAGCTGTTCAAATTTTGTAGAATTATGATTTGGAATATTATTATTACTTGCTTAAATAATTATTTCTAGCCCATAAATATGTATATTGCCTGATTCCGCTGGTAATAATTTGAAATGTTTGGTATTATTTTTATTCTATAATGCGACACTGGCGAATAAACTTTACAGAGAAATTCTCGAAGCCTTTAACGTGGTTTGACGTTTACCACCTCTCTACCTACCAAAAGCCTTTCCAACTTCTGTCCCTGCTCTACATACTTAAATAAATAGTTATTTTTGTTCACAAAAAATTATGCGTCCTATTTTTAAAATAAAACTCACGCTGGTTGAACTGTAAGGTATTAAAACTACCCAAAACACTTTATTTAAAGACAATTGGACGCTTACGCTTTTTGTAGTATAAAAAATTTAACTCGTTGCAAAATAAGAAATTGAAAGGTGTAAAAATTTATATGCAACCAACAATACTGTTGTTTGTAATATTTTTTGTTATTATCCTTACCGTAAGCAATAAGAAATATTTTTTTAATGCTAAAATGTGTTTTACTATCAACTGTAATGGGTGGCTTTAAACCAGCAAGTAATATTATAAAGAACACAATGTAAAATGATGGGTGAGTCAAAGTCACCCTCTACCTACCGGTGGCTTTGCACACCCCTTATTTATTTAAAAAATTAGACGATTTGAGATATTTTTGCTTAATAATTCTTAAAATATAACTGAAAACTAAATTATGGCGAAAATGCGAATTTGGATTTGCTTTTATTTAACAATTGAAAGAAGGTTTAAATTTTAACAGTGAGTCAAAGTCATATGACTTTACGGTATTAATATTTTTTTACTTTCCTGTAACCAATAAGGTACAGGAATCATGAATTTTTTTAACATCAAGTTATTGATGGTTCTTTACATTTTGACCAATTTTGCATGTCTATATCTCCTCTTATAACTCAAAAACGGATAATGGGGAAAACCAAATTTTATTAAGCTTTAATCCCTTAAAGAAATTTGTTATAAACAGATTCCCACATTGGTATTCTTTTCAACTCGGAAGCTTGGTCAACCATAAAAAGGTTGCACATAAGATTTACAAGCTAAACAGGACTCTCCAAAATTATGAAATATTCAGTCAGTTAAGATCACAATGCAGGATTATATCTAGAGAATGCTATACAAATTACATACATTCTGTTGAAACTTCTACTAAAAGTAATGTTAAATCCTTTTGGAATTTTGTAAGTACCAGAAGACCTGATAATATGAACATTGAAGACTCTTTTGCTTCTTGTGACAGTGAAGTATCAAATCTGTTTGCCAAGCATTTTTTATCAGTTTACACTAATTATAATCTAAATCAAAATTTTAACGATGTTGAATTAAAACTTAATGTTTTCTCTTACCCCATTCCTATTTCGACCAGGTCCTGACATTATTCCTCCCATCCTACTCAGAAATTGCAGCTTCGTATTGTCTCGCCCTCTCTTCTATATTTTCAATAAATCTATCGCCACGGGTGAGTTTCCAGATTATTGGAAACTATCTTATGTCACCCCAATATACAAATCGGGTAGCAAGTCAGACGTCAAAAATTACCGACTCTATTCTCAGTACTATACCTAAGGTTTTTGAGAACATTATAACAGACTACCTTACCTATGACTGCTCTGGCATCATAACCGATCATCAATATGGTTTTTGTGCTGGGAAATCAACTGAATTAAATCTAGTTACCTACATCGACTTCCTGTCGAAAGATTTGGAGAAGGGTTGCCAGATTTATTCTGTGTACACTGACTTTTCTAAGGCTTTTGACAGGGTAAACCATTCTCTCTTACTTCAAAAGCTCAATAAATGTGGCAGAAATGGGGGCGTACTGCAATGAACAGAACTCAAATGCTTAGAGTAAACCATCACTATTCTAACTCATTTCAATGTTAAAGATTATTTCACATTCTATAAGCAAACCCTTGACAGACATCATTAATAAATCAGTTGAAACAGGCTACTTTCCCTCAATTCTAAAAAACTCAATAATAACCCCAATATTTAAAAGTGGAGATACCGAAAATGTCACGAATTATAGGCCTATCTCGTTATTGTCATCAGTTAGCAAAGTTTTTGAAAGAATTTTAAAAACTAGACTAAATGCCTTTTTATCCAAATATAATCTGCTGTCAACATCGCAGTATGGGTTTAGAGATAATAAATCTACACAAGATGCAATACATTCTTTAACAAAAACCATCTATGAATCTTTAGACTCAAGCACTCCATCTATAGCAGTTTTTCTGGATTTAAAGAAAGCCTTTGACACAGTGGATCACTCCATACTTCTAGATACACTGGAAGATATGGGTGTACGAGGTACAGCGCATAAGTTGTTTAAAAGTTATTTAACAAACAGAAAGCAAAATTTAAAAATATAATTAGTGGAGAGGTAGAAATCACGTGTGGCGTACCTCAAGGGACGGTGCTGGGGCCGTTGTTATTTGTAAGTTATTTAAATAATTTATTCATACAGGATACTATCGGTAAAATTATAAGCTTTGCGGATGACACTATAATATATTATACGAGTAACAACTGGTACAATCTAAAATTAAGCATTGAAAAGGATCTTAATAAACTCAAAGACTGGTTTGATAGTAGATTACTTTCAATCAATTTTGAAAAAACTCTATACATACCTTTTAGTAGCTATGACATATCTTTGCCGGAATACAGTCTTAAAATCCAACAAAACTTTTCAATAAAACCTGCGAAAAAGATCAAATACTTAGGGATATATATAGACAATCATCTCAGATGGGACTATCACATAGATTATTTAACAAAAAAACTACGTAGTATTTTATTTAAATTTAAACAAGTTGTAGGATTTTTGGAATATAAACATAGAAAAATTCTATATCATAGTTTGGTTGAATCACATCTTCATTATGGCATTATTGGTTGGGGAGGGGTATCAAGAACTTACCTTCGTGCACTTGAAGTCTCTCAAAAACGGTTTCTTCGAATAATATTCAATAAAACAGCAAGACATTCAAGCAATCTTCTCTATAGTGAATCACAAATGTTAGATATTAGGCAATTATATAGTATCCAGCTAGGGTGTCAACAGTACAAAAACAAAAATGAACTTACCAGATTAAGCCATCAATATCAAACAAGAACAAAACACTTACACTGTATACCAATAACTTCGAAATCTGTAGGACAAAGAAGCTATGTATATTTAGGTCCAAAACTGTTCAATTACTTACCACAGAGAATAACAGAGGAAACTTCTTATAAGAGCTTTAAAAAGCAACTTACACTCTTCATAAAAGAAAGTGAAAGAACAGATATTCATAAAATAATAGAGAGTTGAACAAGAACAAAATAGAAAATAAAAAAAAAAAAAAATTTCTCTTAGTCTATTCTTTCAATGATTTTAATTAATATTTTATGTAGCCTAGTAAATAAAAAAAAAAAAATATATATATAAAAAAAAAATTAAAAAAAAAATGTATAACTTAAAATTATTATATATTTTATCAAGTTTTTATTTAATGCATTTCTAATATATGTATTTAAATATGTTCTTTTAATAATCATATTTTTTTTACCACAAACAAGTATTTATAATACTTCAGTGGATATTTTTAGGTTTATTCATCCAATTGGATTGATTGTATGTATTTTTTAATTATTGTATATATTTTTTTTTTTTTTTTTATTATGAATAAACATTATTATTACTACATATAATGTTTAATTTATCACTAAAACTTCAACAATTTCCTAACTCATGGAAAGAGAGTCATGTTATACCTGTATTCAAAAGCGGATCCAAGCAGGAAATTCAGAACTACAGACCTATTTCGATTCAATCCTCGATTCCAAAATTATTGGAGAAGCTGGTAAATAATTGTTTATCTTGGCACTGCAAAAACTTACTTACTGATCAGCAGCACGGTTTTACAAAAGGAAAACCTACTACAACTAATCTTGTTATTTATCACAATTACATAATAAATTCTGTAGAAAACGGTTTGCCATATATTCAGACTTTTCTAAAGCCTTCGATCAAGTCAATCACGAATTACTATTACTCAAACTGCAAGCCTACGGATTCCCTCCCTTTCTTCTAGAGTGGCTTAAAAGTTATCTCATTGGTAGAGTGCAGCGTGTCAAAATAAAGAATTATTTGTCTGATCCCATAGAAGTTTCTTCTGGTGTACCGCAAGGGGCCCACTTAGCTCCATTACTTTTTAATCTATTCATTAATGATGTTGGATCTGTTTTTCAATATAGTAATTATCTGCTATTTGCTGACGATTTAAAGATTTACTTAAAGATTAACAGTGGTGAATGCTGTAATAATATTGAAAAAGATTTCCATGCCTTATGTAAATGGTCTTCCTCTAATGGTCTAACCCTAAACACTAGTAAGGGTTACTGCATTACTTTTACAAAAAATCATAATGAAATAACACATAACTACTCTCTGAATAACAATACATTAATTAAACGTGTTACCGAAATTAAAGACCTGGGAATCGTATTTTGCTCAGATCTTTCGTTTAATAATCATATCAATCTTATAGTTAATAGAGCAATGAAAATGTTAGGCATGCTGATAAGAAACTCTAGCTCGTTATCTTTAGATGCCTGTAGAATGGTTTATATTGCATATGTGCGGTCCATTTTGGAGTACAGCTCTACCATATGGTGTCCATTTTACATAAACTCTGTAAAAAGGATTGAAAATGTCCAAAATAAATATCTACGATATTGTGCCTTTAAAGTTGGTCTAGCAGCAGGTACATATAATTATTCCACAATTCTAGACTTAATAAACCTCCCAACCCTTGTTAATAGAAGAATATTGATGGATCTATAATTCCTCCATAAGATCATAGCCGGGATTATTACTTCTGATGAGTTATTAGCTATGATTGAATTAAGAGTTCCCACAAGAACTACAAGAAATAATAGTTTATTTGCCATTCAACTTCACCTTACCAATTATGCTTATCATGCACCTCTACCTAGACTAATGCGACTGGCTAATCAATACAATTTAGACATCACTGGGTGTTCTATTAGTCAATTTGTGAATGATGTAAAGAGAATTTGTTTTTAATATGTTTAGTTTATTACATTTCATATATCAAATTTTAGATTTATTGTGCCTACCTTTTTTAATGTACTTAAGCTATTTTATGTAATTTATTGATACTAATGGATTATTCCGTAATATATATTTATTTATTTATTTATTTAAAATATCCGATGTGTTCAACACACGACATTAATGTTATCAAATAATATGTATTTATTTAATTTGGAAAATTTGTTACAGGAAGTACATTTCCAAACTAGTATACAAAGCTTAAACTACAGTAAAATTATAAGGGATTCTATAAAAGAAAACAAAAAATGAAGCACAAGTCGCTCGCAACCAATTATTGAGATTAAACATACATTAAAATGGGTTATTCTTGTGTAGAATCGATAAATAATAGCATTTCTGTTTTTATTTCGTCTATAATTATAAATAAGTCGTTAATTTAAATAAAATTATATGAAGTCAATTTAATTACGAGTATTAAAGCAACAAAAGTAAAAGAATAGGTGGTTCTTGCCTTCCACACGGGAAGACTAGAGTTCGATGGGGAAAAATAAAATAAACTTTTATTCTTTTTTTCGTTTGTTTTATTTTAAAAATTATTAAAAGTCAATTTATTTTAAAATTAGTTATTTTGTCTTAATGACCTAAAATATTTTTTTTATTTGTAAATTTTCATTAGTGAATCGTAGAAAAAATATACTGTACAACTCGAGTGGATTGTCCACAACGCACTCAAACGATTGAGTATTCCGCCTACGGCGTCGTGCTCAAATTTCGTCTTTGTGCGATATGGCCATCATATCCACTCTTGTTGCACAAACTAGTATTAACCAGTTAAAAATCTTATCTTATCATTTCTTATTTACATAAATAATTTTTAAGGAAAAAATGTATTTTGAAACATCAATTTTTTTCCTAAAAAAGGCTAGATTAAGAATTTTTAGAGGTAGTTTTTGGGTTGTTATCGCCTGGTGAAATCAATAACGGTGAAACTCAAGAATTTTGAATTAAACCCACCCATCGACATTAATCTGCCCTCTTTTATATGCAAGAGTGACATAAAGTTATTTTATTTGCTTATTCCTAGAGTGCAGCGCATGTCTTTAGAATAGGGATGGTATAGTATTTAATGTATTAGTGACGTATGTCAGTGGTTCGATTTGTCTTCTTTCGAATAGCGTCAAACATGTATGTCAATAGTGGCGAATCTGTAATTAGGCCTTGATAGAATGTGTGTGAGCTAGTAAAATACATGTTTAATATTTAATGCAATAATGACGTAACTCAGAAAAACATTTATACTAGTTGATTTAAATGACTAAAAGCGGAATATAAAAAAAAGAAACATACAAATTATTACCTATTTGTCAGTTATATTGTTCAGAAGTTTATTTTACATTTCGTCCCTATTGTTCTTACCAGGTGAATGTGACAACAAAGATTAACTCACAAATGTTCCACAAAACTTAACTTGTGCCAATAAAGGTAATTATTTTTTTAGGATGAGGTGGAGAAGCCTAAAGAAGAAATTTTTATACCAGCTTTAGCTATGGCTAAGTTAGGTAGTAAGACTGATAGAATGACTCAAATTCAGGCCATCGAAGCCAAGTTGAAGATGATGGAAAGAAAACAAGAAGATGAATTGAAAATTAATGACACAGTTGCAACGAAAGCACCTGTTGTTGTGCAATATCAGCACAATAATATACAAAATAGTAGTACAAGTTTGAACAGTAATGGAAATCATAGAAATCATTTTAAAAATAGAGATAGATATCATAAGCCATATACAAAAAGCAAATACGGTAGATAACGTAGTTTAAATTTTAAGAAAATACTTTTTAAGTTTCACAGTACAAATATTTTTTTAATTGTTTAAAAAAAATTAATACTTTACCTTTTTTAATATTAACTTGTTATATTAATAAGTTTTGATTGAAATATAATGTTAAAAAATCTAAAACTGCCAATAATAATGGTATAAATGTATAGTTAAATGTGTGCGCAGGGTTAGGCAATTATGTCAATATACAGAGTGTCCCAGCTTTTATTTGACAGTCTGTAACTTTTATAATAGTTATCAGAATTAAATGAAATTTAGAAGATTTCTTTGGTTTATTGGGTCATGTTTTTATTTTCTATCGTTTAGCATAGCACTACATATGTTTCGGAAAAATTTCCATCTTCGGGTGAAGTCAAAATTTAATAAACTTGGGAACGATTACAAACTGTTTATTTTTTTTTTTTAAATAACAGACACCCCATCTTTCTGTTTCAGTGTGTGAAAGTGTATTCAAAATAATGATTTGGTTTAACACGATAACGATAAAGTAGGGAAACAAAAAGAGTTTTTACAATGTTAAAAATTACCAGTGGCGTTACAGTTAAGGATTAGAAAGCTTAATTATTTAATAATATTTAAATAAACGTTTGACAAATCTTTTATGTCTGTTTTATTAGTTACAGAGTTGTTATTTTTTTTTAATATGTATATCAAGGATTGTTCTTTGTTGATATTTGGTTAATTTTCGAGAATTCTTACATTTTCAAATTCGAAAGAGTGCAAATTTTCTACCGCATGTTAGGGTACTGTGACGGCCCATCCCCGGTACTCCATTTGATCGTTGTTTTACTCTCTAAAATGTTATTATTTACCTCACAAGTTTATTAAGTTCTATACTTACTGTATTTGGCCTGTTTCCTCTAGTAGTAGAAGTGATCGTCTAGTTGCGATAATGTTAATGCAAAGTTTGGTGCAAATTGATAAATAAAACATACAAATTCATATTTAAACTTTTTTATTTTTTTATACTTTAAATGTGATGCAATAATTAGCAAAGTATATTACAATTGGTACTATTTACTGAGATATCACTTGAGTCCCGTTCAAACGCAGACCACGTTCATTTGCTATCAATATATATTTAATTTAGCTTGATGACCAATGGAATTAACGAACAGCATCAATTCGCTAGTGGGTTAACTACTGTGTTGATGTTTATATTCTTATTTAGGTTGATGACCAATGGAGTTAACGAAAAGCGCCAATTCGCCAGTTGGTTCCCTTACTATGTTGATTTTACATATACTTTGCTTCAAACCCAGTAGAATGGGTGGCTAAGCATGATACTATTACTCGAGAAGATAAATCCACGCGAATGCAATCAGCTCATTTCTCTCGCACGCCTGACGTCACTGGGAGACATTACCCGACTCAGCCAGTTCTATACGACGCAAAGAGGTTTTACGTGTATTATTGCTGCTATTTGAATCAATACTTCCGAATTTGTGTTGCTGTTTAATTTTTAAGACGATTTATTACTTGTTTATTCAAACATTTTCAATTTTTACCCCTCCTTTTTTACATTCATCCGTAATTTTTATAAATATATTAAATTGATTGTAAAATAAAAATGTCTATAGTTTAAAATCTCTAAAATAAGATTAACTCGAATTTTTTTTAATATTTTGAATTTTCCCCCTCCTCTTTTTACCCCTACCTGTAATATTTTTATTAAATTACTAAACGAATTTTAAAATTAAAATAGTACGCGACAACTCGATATTTTAAATTGCAATTTTTTTACCATTTTCCCCGACATTTCACCCGCTTCCCCTTTATCAATTTTACTCAAAAATATTCCAATCCGACCCCTAATGGAATAACACCTATCTATAGCGCAATTCCTTTAAAAGTTATGGTGAATACCGATAGACTGAAATTTTCTTTTTTACTCATAATACTTTTTTTAAACATAAAATATTGTTTAAAACCGCTCTAGCGTAATGCTTTTCGTGGTCGAAATTGGATCGTCAAGTGGGCTTATCTTCTCGAGTAATAGTATCATGGTGGCTAAGCATATAGGTGTCCCCTCTTGAGCTAACGAACAGTGTATTCACCAGTTGGTTAACTTACTGTTAGATTTTACCATCTTGGTTTGTACAATTTATCCAAGATAGCACATCCCTGTATATTTCTAATATATTGCTTTTTATAATTTCTATTAAAATGACTTAATACAACCCTGTATGTTTCTTAATATTGATTTTTATAATTTCTATTGAACTAACTTAAATTCACCTATCGAAACCAGATGACTAACCTAACTGTCTTTCAGGGTGAACGACTGAAGGCCATATGACTACTGAACTTGAAATATAACACAAATATTAAAATTAAAGCTTGCACATCAAATAATAAAAAATGAATGAATCCGAGCTCATTTGGGTCCGGATTCTTATACCCGTTTTAATGGCTTTTTGTGACGTCTCTGTGTGTCTTAGTTCCCAGCGACAAACGAATCTGGGGGTCGATTTAAGTCGACTTGCCTTGAGAGCTTGTGTATCAAAATATTGTCGAAATCGGTCTTAACATCTAGAAAGATAAGCGAGTTAAGTGTTTTAATGATGATTACTTCGTGAAAAGAAATGTGGTTTATTAGGTGTTGTAAATAAGATTTAACTGTCTGGGAGATTTTTCGTTAAATGAAGGATTTTGAATTTAATATGAATGCAATATTATATTTAATAAATGGAATTAATAAATTATTAAGGTACCTGGGTGAGATAGGTTACAGTACTCTTTCGATTTTGAAAATGTAAGAATTCTCGAAAATGAATCAAATCTCAACAAAAGAACAATCCTTGAGATTGATACATACTAAAAAAAAATAACTCTATAAATAATAAAACGGACATAAAAGATTTGTTAAACGTTTATTTTAATATTATTAAATAATTATAAGCCACTGGTTATTTTTAACTTTGTAAAAACTCATCTTTTTGTTTCCCTACTTTAACGTTATCGTGTTAAATCAAATCAATATTTCGAATACACCTTCACACGCTGAAACAGAAAGATGGGATTTCTGTTATTTTAAACATTTTTAAACTGTAATCGTCCCTATGTTTTATTAAATTTTGAGTGCACCCGAAGATGGAAATTTTTTTCGAAACATGAGTGCTGTGCTAAACGATAGAAAATAAAAACATGACCGAATAAACCAAGGAAATTTTTATTTATATAAAATTCTGCTACGGTCAGGAAATTATCCTTATTCGAAATTTAGAAGGTTGCTACAATGACATGTTTGCTATCTGATGAGCGTATTTTCGAATATCAAGAACTTCCGGTCATAACAGAAGTGACCATGAATTTTGTTATTTCAAATATGACACTGTATATTTCAACAATTCTGAATTCTCTAATCAGTTCTACACATTTTTCATGTAATATGTCCTATACCTATCTCTAACCGTTTCTGATAATTTGCAGGTTACACTTATTATGTATCTTGTCTAAAAATCAAAATAGTACAATTTAATAAATTTTACGGACATTTTATAACAAAAAATCTAACATTAGAAATTAATTGAACATTTGAAGTGTCTTTTTTCTGTCTCAAGAAAAGCCTGAAATTTCTTCAGTAGTTTCCTCGTTACATAATGTGTTCATGTATGTTTTGTGCTACCCATCTAGATATATCTAGTTGGCTTTGTTTTGTCAAACTTTCGATGTAATAATGCGCTAGTTCAGTGTGATGTCATTTTGGTTCCACTGACATTTAATTCTAACCAAACTTTTAACAAAAACATTAAAAAATTTGACATATGGGTGATTGCCTCAAAATGACCAACAATCAAGGTTGTATTTTGGCCGAAAAAGAAAAACAAAATTTGTATGAAAAAACTTGTTTTACTTAGTAACTAACAACAGCACTTAACAACAGACACATCTGTTTTTTAATTATTAGGTTTCTTCTTAAATTTGGTAACAGGGGAATGTCAGTACTTTCAGAAAAATGACAAATGGTCCAAATTATTAGAAAATATACATAAATTAATAATAACTAAAACACAAATTATAAGAACGAATGTGTATTTAAAAAATAAAATAACTGTTGACAAATGAACGTACCTTTGGGGAAAGATTTTTCATATAAATTCGATACCTACATTGACGTGTGGGGTATCATTGTTTGAGTCACGTTGAGTAGAAGTGCTTTGCATAAATATTTTTAAAAAAGAATTAATATTAACTAAGATATATTTATTTTTCTCTCTGTTTCAAGCCACCCTCCCTTCCGGGTGTCTTGAAACGGAGCCTATTCTGAATATACCATTCAAGTTGGAAGCCCGCCGTCTGCCTTGAAACATGGACCGACGTTCTGAGCACCTTTTGCAATTTGTGCGATGAAAAAATATTTAAAAACAAGGAAATTATGGCTATTTATAGACAAACAAAACAAAAAACACAGCTTTTATTTATGCAAGTTTAAAATATAACCTATTATTTAAATATGTAACTAAACTTAGGTATTTATCACATAGGGAAGTCTGAAAAAATATAAACTAAAAATGAACTACAACATAAAATCATGCTTATAACTGAATGGAAAAAGAATATCGACCACGTTTAACAAAACTTGGCTTTAGTAGCTGGATAACTTGAGACCTTGTCACATCTGCGACATCAGGATTATCTGGGAATATGTAAATGTTATTACTGCTGCTTGGACTTTTTCTTAAAAATTTGCAAGTAAAGGTGTAGTTACAATCTATTTGTGTAACTTGTCCTATAAATCTTTTTGGGAAAGTTTTCTTTCCAGGACCGTCATAGGTAAACTCAACCAAGAGAAAATCCTCAACTTTGATTTTATCCAGTTTTACATTTTCGTTGTCATCCTCTTCTTTAAAATTTTCTGATTTTCCGATTCTGAGTCCGATGAATTTCTTTTACTTTTTAAATTCTGTTTCTTTTGTTCTACAAATGTTGGTAGAGAATCATCAGAATCCTCTTGACTTTCTTCTGTCTGTAGCCATTTTGATGTGGAAGGCATGGAATCGTTCATATTTGAAGCTGATATGTTATTATTTTGCTCGCTCAAATTGGTTACACTTGCTCCTGCCTTAACATTTAATTTTTGTTTTTTTGGTTGTTTTCTTGGCTGCGTTTGGTGGTTGTACAGATTTTTCAAAAATATTTCAAAACTGTTATCAATAATGGCATTATTTTCTTCAACGTGCTCTGTGATTTTATTGCACGGTATATGCTTCAGCACATTTTCCCTACTGATTGGATAAATTCCACTGCCTCTAAATGCAGCTCTTAGATTTGCTTCCGTCTTTCCATTCCCTCTAAGTTTTTCTAGGCACTTATTTAAAATTCTAGGAAAAACGTCTTTTGGTATCGTGCCTTTATTTTTCATCTTCCACTCCAAAAGAACATTTCTCCATGTCGATTTCATCGGCCTGAAGAAGGCTACATTGAGTGGCTGGCATACACCTGTGGAATTGGGTGGAAGTAATATGAATTTTATGTTGTCCCTACAGGTTAAATACCTCAATGCCACAGTGAAGAACCAGTCTTCAAATAGAGCCTCAGTGAACCAACCTGACTTGCTGCGATTATATCGTGCATGAGGACCTCCAGTTGTCCAAGTTGAATATAAATTTTCGGCATTGTACACTATGTAAATGGGTAAAAGTGTCCCTGATGCACTTCCAGAAAACATTACTGAGTGACTGCTTTTTAATGAATTGATTATGGGGTGTGCATGCTTCGATCCTCGTCTTACTATTACCTTGCTTTTTCCTGGATCGTCCGCAAGATTAGTTTCATCGTAGTTCACGATACAACTAGGATCGATTCCGTCAAGACTAATTTCCAGTTCGTCGAAATAAGCATTAATCATCTCCGGACTTATGGCAGCTCTCGAGCGTTTGATATTTTCGCACCAACGTACGCTCAAAATTTAACGGTGCCTCAATAAAAATCCCCGCATCCAGTCTTTTCCGGGCCAATTTTCATTTTTAAATTTTTGGACTCGCTTCCTATCTAAAAGATTTTACATCATTTGCTGTAAGTGGAAAGCCCCACTGACAAGCCAGATCTATATTATTGACAAGTCGGTGTTCTTCTTCAGCTGATAAAATAGTCTGGCCTCCAAAATTCTTACTATGCAGATTTTTCACTTTTCTTCGAATCGTAGAATAGGGAATCTTATATTTTTCGGATAAATATCTGTAGGATCTACCACGAAGCCTCCTTTCCTCTACAGCTAAGCCAAGTTTCTCGGGATCAAAGTCGGCATAATGTCGGCTGCCCAGTCTTCTCCTATATCTTCCCATTTTTAATCAAAAAAACAACAAATTGATAAAACCATTTTTAAAAAAATCCGAGGGGGTGATTTGAAACAACGTGTTTCAACTCACCCGCAACAGTGCAGCTTTTTAGTTTTTTTTGCGATTATTTTTGATCAATAAGTCAAAATAAAAATTAAAGTAATGAAAAACCTACAGAAAACTATGAAATTACTATAGTGTGAAAATGTTCAACATACCTTTAATAGAAACAGAGATCCTAGTAAAGTTTTGCAGGTAATATTTATTTTACAAAACACGCGGGAAAATTAAATACCGTCCAAGTCATCAATTCTTCCTCTTTCAAGCGTGGTTGCCACATGTATTGTTTAATTTTCACAAAGTGTCGTTTCAGTCTCCCGACTTGACGGTATACAACAAAGCTTAATTTTAAAAATATTTGAAAATAAAACAAGCAGTATCAACCTAACAACAAAAAATACTTATTATGAGTAACTTGCAGGTAAAAAAAGTAAATAATACCTCCTATTCCAAAAATAATTACAATAAGTACAAAATACAAAACAATGCGGTAAACGCAAAAGTATTATTTTTGTTCGAAAACATTTACTGGTTTCGTAAATTTCTAGAATGTTCAAAAATTCTTGGAACCGAACATTAGCTTTTCGGTTTAACCTGTGTCGTCTTGTGTTTTTTCTCCATTTTTTCGTTGCTTTCGTTGTTGTTTGGGTGTCATTTCAGCTATTGAGAGAACCGTTTTCTTCTCCTTTTTTTTATAGACTTCAGCCTTTCTATTTCCTTCATGAACTTTTTATTTTCGGGATCAGCCATTATTCTCCAATATCTTTTCTTTTCTGCTTCTCGTTTTTCCTGTGGTTGTACCTATCTTTTGGTTTTCCCATGTTTCTTAAGCTAAAATAATGTTTCTGTTGAAACAAACTCTATATAATGCTCATTCCCCTGGAACGATGTCATTTCTCTGGAAATATTTTTCCAGGGGAATGACAAAATATGAGGTTTTTTTTTGATAAAAAATAAGCGCCAGAAGCGATCTTGTCGAGGTTAAACACATATATATCACATTTAACTTTAGTTTATTACTGTACAGTTCTAACAATATTTTAATGTCTATTAAAAATATTACTTACCAGGGGAATTACAGTTTGAATGTGACTACACACAGAAAGAACACAATATACAATACCATGTAGAATTAAATGTGTATGCAACAATAAACTGTTGAAAACTTAATAAAGCAATAAACACTGTATTGTCAACTAATTAAATAAACCTTTGGCCCCATCTATCTGACACTAGTAGAACTTTTCTACTACCAGGGGAATGAGGTACCGATGTTAGATACGAAAGTTCTCAAATTTTTTAAAGACCAAGTGTATAACTTTTTATTGATTGGTTTAGGGCGATTTTGAAACAGTATTTGTTCTAATTATATATTAATTTACTAGTTATTTAAGATCACCTGATTCTCTTACAATTAATATTTACGTACTGACATATCAGGAAGATACAACCCAGGGGAATAACCATTTTCACAAAATATTTCAAAAATAGGATTTTTTGTTATATTCAAAGAAAGAAATTTAGCGACTAGTTAAAACTAAATCAAAGAGTGTTTGTAACGGATAAATGATAGTATGGAGATTAAATGAAATATCAGTGCACTATTGATACACCATAATTTGCACTTTACAGGCAACCATCCATATACGTTTTTACTGTTGTTTTTTTTTTTTTATTTCAAAATATTGTTTACAGGTCATAAAAAATAGTTTAAAGGTATGTAATTGGTAACTAAACGATTGTATATTTGATATATGCTATCTACTTACCTAAGGAATATATTTATAAAAGTGAAAAAAACGATATAATTTAGGTAAATAAAACGGAACAAAACGCACTCAAAAAATCTACTGTCACTTTAATTGTCAGTGGAACCATAATTACATCATCACTGAACTAGCGCATTTTTGTTTGCCAATTTTCAATTGGTAGGGCAATCTAAAAAATTATTTAAAATAATACAACTAGAACTCTTTTTAGTGGTCTATAAGTATTATTTTAACGATTTTACGAAAATTAGTTCAAAACTGTGTGCTATTCTAAGAACAGAAATTATGTGAGATTTTAAATGTTTCACCTCACAAAGCCACAACTGGTATATTATTATTTCTTATCTCTCATAGAAAAAATAATTCAAACTGATATAATAGGTAGTTATTTACTTCATTTTTATTATGGTCAAATTTAAATGAAACCGAGGGCCCATATTCCATGATAAACAAAAAATTACAAAAACAATTCGTGAACACTAATATCAGTGTTTCGTGTCTACTAATATGTGCTAATATAATATTAGCACAGCTTTAAGCCCTAGCAAAAATCGAAACTGCAAAACCAATAAAATAAAAGAATAATATCTCAAAACAAAACACATATATCTAAAGTTGAGGTTAGAAAACTTGTTTCCATCCATTGCGTTCGGTATGCCAAGTTCCTTTAACACTTTTTACTCCAAACGACCCTTTTAGCGTTCGGTTTAGTCCGATTAGTGACAGTTTAACACGCTTAAATGTCATTTAAAAGCACCCTAAAAAAACTCCGCTTTTGTCCCGCTCCAGCCCCTGACTATCCGAACTCGCCTACAATCTCTATTTTTCGCGACATTCAGCTCCGCCCCTTAAAGCTGTCACTTCCGATTGGTTAAATTGACACTCGTAAAACTGTGTGCTGGATGTACTTTCGCATAGGACATATTATATGAAAAATGAGTAGAACTGATTTGCTGAAATATACAGTCTCCTATTTGAAATAACAAAATTTATGGTCACTTCCGGTATGACCGGAAGTTCTAACTATTGGAAAATACGCTCATCAGATAGCCCACAAGTCATTATAGCTCCGATCTAAATTTCATTTAATTCTGATAATTATTATAAAAGTCTAATAAAAGCGTATACTTGATTTACGCCAAAACCATATGATTTTTTTTTAGTTTAGTTATAAATTGTTTTGAACTTTTTCCTAACACTTTAAATAACTTTAGTACAAATTTTGAATGTATTAGTTTTTTGTATTTATGTTAAATATGCTGACCAATGACAAATTTCTTTTTGGGGTCCTCTGAATCCGTTTTAACCATTTTCGCGATGATGTCTCAGTGTGTATGTGTCTGTATACTGGCTGTCTAAAATTTATTTTACCCATGCTATAACTTCTAAAGCATACAAGGCAAAAACTACCCAGTATAATTGGCGGTGGACTTTGAAACGAATTAAGATTGGAGGACATCCCCAAGAACACCCCCTCAAAAATTCTTAATCACACCCTAATTTTGTAGTGGCTATTCTCTGTATAACTGTTTTAAATTCTCAAATCGCTCTAAGTAATACTTTTTCAATCTGTCTTTTGTCAAACAGATGTGCAGCTTACTCGACAAAATAGGCAGTTTTTATTTGTTTTTGCAATAATTTAGAGGTTTTCAAGTCCTAACAAATAATACGAGTATATTAATGGAGCAACGAATCACGTTTCCATAATAATGGTTTATTAAACTGTCATAATTCCAATTACTGGTCCCCAACAAATCCCCATTGGGTAAGAGAAACAAGAGTTCAAAATATTTGGGCATAAACGTAAGGTGTGGTTTGTTCAATGGCAGGATTATAGGTCCTTATTTTTATGAAAACGCTCTAACTGGAATAGAATATCGTGATTTTTTAATTAATAACGTTCCTGATTTGTTGGAAGGTGTTCTTAATGAAAGATGTGGTATGTGGTGGCAGCAAGAAGAAGCACCAGCTCATAATGCACAAATAGCCAATAGTTGGCAAACACTTGTGGAAACCGTGTTATATCCACACATTATCTAGTGGCCGGCTAAGTCATCTGATTTGTCGCCCCTAGATTTTTTCTGGGTTACTATAAAGAACATAGTATACGAAATAAATTCAGAGGACTTAGAAGAATTAAAAAATAGAATCAGAAATAGTGTAAATTTATTGTTAAGGTTTGACAAATGTGTGAAAGGGGGAGGTAGTAGCCAATTTGAGCTCATAAGTTATTACTACTCTTTGTTTGTTATTTGTTTCTTGTCTTCTTCTTCTCTTGTTTCAATATTTTTTTTTTTTATTATCTATCATCTAATAAAGATTACTGTATTTTATATCATTAACTTGGCATATAGATTTTATTGCATATCTGTCTCATTAAATGGAGCGATTTAAGAATTTCAAAAACAGTTATGCAAAAAATATAGGAGCGACTAAAAACTGATCAAAAAATTAACAATTTTTGAGGGATGGATCGTCAAAATCTTCATTCATTTCGAATTTCACCGCCAATTACGAGGGTGGATCAAAAAGTACCCGTATTAGAAAAGAAGAGGCAAGTTTTTCAAAAAAATGTATTTCTATTTTTCAACGTACTCTTCTTTTAGTGCTATACACTTTTCCCAACGTTTCTGCCATTTATTTAACCCCTCCCAAAAATATTATTTCTCGAACTCCGCAAAATACGCTTCAGTCTCGACGATAACCTCGTTAGAGCTGAATTTTTTTTCCCCGAGTCACGTTTTCATGTTGGGAAATAGAAAAAAGTCGCATGGAGCCAAGTCGGGCGAGTACGGTCAGTGCGGCAACAATTCGTACTGCAGTTCTTGAAATCTGACCGCGACAATTCTCGATGAATGTGCTGGTGCGTTATCGTGGTGAAACAGGACCTTTTTCTTAGCCAAATGAAGCCGTGTCTCCTTCAATTTTGCATCGAATCGGTCCAATAATTCACTATAGTACTGCCCTGTGATCGTACTTCCTTTCTGCAAAAAGTCGATGAGATTTATTCCCTAGGAATCTTAAAAAATGGTGGCCATAATCTTTTCTGCCGATGGGACCGTCTTTGCTTTCTTCGAAGCAGATTCACTTCGAAAAATTCATTGCTTCGACTGTCGTTTGGTATCTGGCGTATAATAATGTATCCAGGTTTCATCAATGGTGACGACTCGACGCAAAAACTCCTGCGAATTTCGATTAAAGAGCTCCAAACACTGCTTCGACATTGAGAGCCGTATCCGCTTGTTGTCCACCGTAAGCAATCGCGGCACCCATCGGGCCGATACCTTTCTCATGTTTAACTTATCATGCAAAATATTAATTAATTAATTAATTAATTTCGTTCGGCGATCTGCGACAATCATGTCTTGGACCTTTTTAACGATTTCCTCGGTAACAACGTCTGCCGGGCGACCACGTTTAAATTCGTTGAACCAATATCTTACGGTTGTCATAGATGGTGAAGGGTCCCCATAGACAGCATCCAACTTTGCTTTTATTTCATCGCATGTTTTTCCATCCAAAAATAAAAAGCGAATTACAGATCGATATTGTTCTTTTTCCATTTTATCGATTAATGCGAAACACGTATGGTACAAGTGGCTGCCAAATAAAAACCAACCTATGAATCAGTTTGAAATTTAGTATGGTGTCGTGTGACAGATGTCAGTACACGACAATAATGCCAACTTCCCTCAGCAACGCCACCTGCCTTCAAACACGGGTACTTATTGATCCACCCTCGTATACTTGGTTGTGTTTGCCCGGTTTGATTTTCTTGTATAGTTTAGAAGTTTTTGCCTCGGTAAAATAATTTGGAATATCCCGTATATTGTACGACTTGTCTTTTTATGTAATGAAGGTTAATAAATTATTCTATATCGTTGATACTAAAAAAATCTCAAAAACTGATATTTTAATTTACTTAAAAGTCTCGAAGACTAGAATTTTATTTTTATTAACAAAAATTGTATGAAGTAGGTGTTCTGTTAAAGAAAATAAATAAATTAAGGCCATTATATGTAATTGTGAAGGCTCTGTCGCAAAACAAAGCCGGACAAATTATCGCAGAACAAATGAGCGCTGACAAAACAGTGCCGCAACAAAATGGCGACGTAACATATCAGCATCGAGACAAATAGGCTCCAACACAAAATCGCTGAACAATAAATACAATTTATATATTTATGGGATAGCTCCAGGCCGTACAGGTTAGGTAATTTTTTTATTTTTTTTAATTAAAATTACAATGGGTATTAGAAAAATATTAAAATAGAAATATTGTCTCAGTACCTATTCAAATTAAAACTTAACCTGAGAGGCCTGGAGCCATCGCGCGCTGCTTTTTATTTGTTATCGCCATTTTGTACTGGCGGTGTTTTGTCCTGGCACAATTTTGTCCGGCGCTTTTTTGAGACTGTGCCAATTTGTCAGCGCTAATTTGTCCGGCGCTGTGTTGCGACAGCCATTTGTAAAAATGTGAAGTACAAAAATATATACCTAGTGAAAAAATATACATATTTTGCTGCAAACTTCTTTTATTTTCCTAATAAAATTAATTAAAACCAGTACATGTAATTATCAAAATGTGTAGTACAGAAATATATATTTATCAAAAAAGCTGCAAACTTCTTTTACTTTCCTTGCAGAATCATACAGTATGTTAACCTAGGAATTCCCAAGTAATAAAGATGAGACTCTTAATTATATTTGGACGCAAGTAAAATAAAGAAAGACACTTTGTATGATGAGGAGAGGACACTGCTGCGGCAGTCACCGATCATAGCAAATCGCAAATTTTAGTACTCCACAAACTATTTTGGGGTGTACATCGCTTGTTTAACATAGCGAAAGTTACGTAGTTATCGGTAATATCTTACAAAAAAATGCTCAGTTTTTGCTGGAAGTTACCTAAAAAACTACAAAATTATCAGCTTCTGAAGTGCGTTCTCAGGGGGGCGTATAACATACGCGCGTTATATCAACAGGTTAGGGCGCAACACATCCGCGCATACCAGTCCGTTTTACAATAACAAAATGATATTTAAATTTAAAGTACACTGAATAATTCAAACATATTTCGTTTAGTAACAAAAGTAACACATGAAAAATATTGTTTTTTCTACGCCTATGGAATAATATGTCAATTATTAACGCTTTTTCTTTAAATAATAGTAGTCATTATTTTTATCTGTTGGCTTATGAATCATAAGCCAACGGTATTTGACCAATCACAGGCCACGAATTTTCATAAGCCAACAGTTTTATTAGTTGCCCATGACAACGGAAAAGGCACCACAGTATTATTCCTGTACAACACTGCTTCTCAGTTGTCATTTGTAATTTTGTCACGCTTGACACTTCTGTCTCCGAAAGCTGGAGTGCGTTTAGAAACCCCGCACGGCGCGTCTCACCACATACATTAGAATAGGGTCCAGACGCGCCGTGCGTGGTTTCTAAACGCACTCCTGAAAAAGTGTAAAAGTTTGTCTCAAAAACCTATAAATTGTCCAATCAAAACACAAATGGATGAAATGGACGATATTAACAGCGACGAAGAAAATTATACCCCACCGGATATCGTAGAAGCAGCGAAAATAACATCGGTAGACTTGCTACCTAAAAAATCGCGAAATCTTTACGAAAAAGCGTATAAAGCTTTTATGGATTGGCGAGACCGCAAAAAAACTACCTCGTTTTCCGAAAACGTGTTACTAGCCTACTTTGGAGAGCTAGCAGAAAAATACAAATCTTCGTCCCTCTGGACTCAATATTCGATGTTGCGAACGACACTAGAGGTACGACAAAACATAAATATAGCAACTTACGGAAAGTTAAAAACTTTTCTTAAACGCAAATCTGATGGCTATAAGGCGAAAAAGTCTAAAACATTTACTCCAGATGAAATAAATATGTTCATTGAAAATGCAGATGATAAAAAATATCTTGCAACAAAGGTAGGAATTAATAAATAAACATAATTATAACAATTTTAGAGACTGTCTATTTGTCCGAGCGCTCGGATATGAATAGTAGATTGCGCTAAATATCCGGGCATTGAGTCATCATTCGTTGTTCTTAATCCTGTAACACAAGTAGACGTGTGGCGTGGTCCAGTGGACTGGGCATCGAGCTGTAGATCGATAGGTCCTAGGTTCAATTCCGGGCCTTGGCAGTTTTTTTTTAATTTTATTTTTTCTTTTTATGTTCTTTTAAGTATTTATATTTTTTGTTCGAGCATATTGTTCCACAGGTTAGTTCAAGTTCCACCCAAAAAAGTTGGTTTCGTTTAAAAAAAAAAAAAGATTAAAAATTCTACCAATGGTAAAATTTATGTTGGAGTATATTGATCCACCGGTTAGTTTTGAAATTTAAAGTTCTGTCTGATTTTACTAAAGAAAAATAATAAAATAAAATAAAAACGGTTGAAAGTAGATATTTCAATTATTTTTTACGCCCGGATATATAGCTCAATCTATTATTTGTCCGAGCGCCCGGACGAATAGACAGTCCCATAATTTTAAACATTGAAGTTGTTAATCCATTTTACTAATTTTGCCATTGATTTTTGTTTCAGGTAGCATTAATTCTTGGTGTAATGGGTGCCTGTCGTTGTCACGAATTAAGAAATATGAATATTGAGCATATTGAAGTTTTTAATACATCCATGCTAATTACTGTGCCCAACACAAAAACAAAAGTCGTTAGAAAGTTCACCGTAACAGGAAAATTTTGTGAAATGGTTAAAAAATATATTGATTTGCGTCCCCCCACAGTTGCCTCGCCGTCTCTCTTTTTGAATTATCAAAATGGGAAATGCTCTGTCCAAAATATAGGAATTAACAAATTCTCGGCAATGGGAAAACAAATTGCCAATTATTTAAATCTGCCCAACCCCGAAATGTATACAGGACACAGTTTCAGGAGATCGTCTGCCACAATACTAGTAGATGCAAGAGCCAACATGACTGCATTAAAAAGACATGGGGGTGGAAGTCCGCAACGGTGGCGGAGGGATACATCAACGACTCCTTAAATAATAAAATGACAACTGCCCAAAAAATACTTCACTCAATACAAAGCAAATCCACTATTACCACCACTGAGACTATAACCAAGGTCAATGAAAATCAAAAAATGGATGTGGCCACCGCATCACTTACTATTCAGAACTGCCAGAATTTCACAATAAATATTCACCAACATAATCCGTTAATTGATAAATAATCATTTTATTATCCATGTTATTAAAAGTTAATATGAATTAATGTAAAATGGTTTATTTGAGTAAATTTAATTTAATCTGCATTTTAATTATTTCATAGGCGTAGAAAAAGTATAGTATTATACTATTAAAATTATATATTTATATAAATACTACAATTATTTGAAAAACATGAATTGATCAATTATTTGTACAATGTAAATCTGACTTTGGGATTGTCACCCGACCCGATCTAACCGATTTTCATTGCGTTCGGTCTGCCAAGCACCCTAAAATTTGTCCCACTCCAGCCCCTGACTATCCGAACTCGCCTATGGTTGTTGAATAAAACGTGGTAAGTACTTTTACTTGTATTTAATTTTAGTTTAACATTTAAATTTAAAATTAAGCAAAGATATTTTGGTGTTCGTAATAAATTCATAATATCTAATTTGTAATAGCGTTGTTTGTATAAAGGTAAATAGTTTAATTTAATGACCAATTTATGCTGTAATTTTTATTTCCTTCCGATATTAAGCAAGGAACTAAATGATGCCGCATAAACTTCATCATTCCCACTTGCAAAAAACCATTTATAGGTTACAAGACTGTGTAAATTGGCTTTGCCTTTGGTACCCTTGAAAGATAAATTAACACTAAAGAGTAATCTAAAGTAATATTAATATCATACCGTCAAACAAATTACCAGTGAAAAGAAAGTTACATTCGATCAAAATTTCATCCAATGAAATATAATTATTACCTAAAAAACAACGATTAGATCTTGGATTTTTAAATCAAACCAGTGAATAGTTAACTCCAAGGAAGAAAAAACTTTATTTCATAATTAGAAATTAGCAAAGTAAAATTTGCGAATCAAAGAAGGACCTCAAAGCTTAATCCCGCAGGCATCTGTTTTTTTAAAAGTATTATACTGCTTTGAATATTTCTGTTTCAGATTATGTGGATGGTTCCTTTATGTGTTTTGTTACCTACCCAAGTTTACAGAAAGTTTTAGTTGTTTTATTAAAATATTGTTTATTTAGAAAATTTATTATAAATTAGTTTTAAGGCAAAGTTCAATGACAAGTGACGGCGACTTTTTTATCACAAGAAATACAGCTCTGAACGATAATATTTTAAAAAACTGTTCTCATAAATGGGTTCAAAAAACTGTAAAAAATGATGGAAAGTCTATGGTTTGTTTTACTTTTAATGCATAATATTTTAATAAGTGTTATTTAACAAATATTTAAAAGTTATGGACTTTCCATCATTTTTTATAGTATTTAGAAGTTAAAACGCAACATACATTCTTTTATTTTTGCCTAATTATTTCAGGATTCTTGTGATAAGATTTAAAAATATAGGGCCCATAAGATGCTGCCATCTGAACAGACGGAATAGACACTAAAAATTGAAAAATTGCAACATCGCTCCCTATGCAGACGAATGTAAAATGGCTTAGCCCAATTTGACCATGTTTATAGGTGAGGGGCGAGGTGGTGTGCGGGGAAAGGTTGCAAGTAAATAAATTATTCTAAAATAGTATATTATGCAACGATCATGTAATGATGGTTATTAATACACGAGCATTAACCGGGATACGAAACGAGCCAAAGGCGAGTTTCGTATGGTTTATGCGAGTGTTTTAATAACCATTACATGAGAGTTGCATACGCTATTTTTTCTACACCCGATAAATAATCAAGACCTATAAATATTATATTTATATTGGTATTGAACACAATAACAGTAATTACTCGTATTTCTATAAAAAATTCTACAAAATTGTAATTAATGGTATTACTTCAGGTATTGGTATTTCCCTAGATTTTTGCGGTAAAATATTTTGTACTGTATTTTCTGCTTTCTCCGATATGTGTGGAGGAGTCTTCTATATCGCTAATATCAGACATTTTAATATTATAATTATCGAAGTTTAGCTACCTACGAAAATTTAATACGTTTTGACAACTAAAATAATTACATAGGAACCTAGGACAAACGTCAAACAGCATGCTTGATTGAAAAATTGTAGGTTTCTATTGATTAAAAATCTGTATCGTAATGAAAAATCTGTATCATAATGGGTATCATTATGAAACGGATTATGGGCATATAAGTGCATTATTATAATACGGGTGTAGAAAAATGCTATTTTCTGTTTGGAACACAACACATGTTTGTTTTGAAAGTTTGACGTTTATGGTTTGACGTGTCATTTCAATTTAATGGACTTTAATAATTTAAAAGATGCAATGTACTTATATTATTTATATATATTATTGTAGATCCAGGTATGTTTTCGGTTTTTATTTTTATTTTATTTATTTGGCTAGTTTGCTAATATCACAATATTCAATTTTAGTAAAAAATAATGTAATAATATAACAATTATTTTAATAACATTCTAATAAATAGGAAATGTAATTTAACTGCATTTGTTTTGATAACAGTATTTGCATATGGTCTGTGAATTTCATTTGTTTCCGCATAATTACCCTTAAATATTTGAATTTTTCTACTAACTGTGTAGATTTTCTTCCAATTTCCTATATTGTTTGTCCACAAACTGCATATAGTTATTACTTATCAGCTTATATTTTGTTTTAGGTATTTGTGTTGATTTTTAACAAATGATTGCAACATCATTTATAAACATTTTGAAGAGTTTCATTGACAATTAACTCTTAGTTATCTGAATCCTTACAACTTACAAGAAACATAGATAAGGACATCATAGGCAAACAGGTAAATGTCATATTAATTATTGCAACATTAACAATCATTAATATAAATTAAAAATAACAGGGGACCTAATTTTCTTCCTTTGATGTGGTTAATTTCTTCTGATCAGAACAGCGATTCTTTTGTGCCAACTCGACACATTACATATAGAATAGAGAGAGACATTACATCAAAATCGCTGTCTGTCGAACAAAGATAGGAGTCTCGATAGGAGACGTACTCAAAAGATGAGAATCCCACTACATATTATGTTATTTAATTTTAATCTCTCTGACCTGATACTTAGATAATCTACATGCTACCCCAATGCATGCTTTATAGCATAGATATAAAAACCACCTTTATACCAATACTATTTAATTTTTTTATTGAATGATTTTGATCAACAGAATCAAGTGCATTTTAAAGAAATACAATTAATTTTGAATTGTACATATGGCGGATTGTACAATAGGCAGTTAAAATGTAGACTTAGTTTAAACTGTGAACCTTGTTGTATACTCATCGGTTATTGTTAAACATAGTTTTAAAAATGACATTTGTTTTTGAATATAACTAGTTAAAAATAAAAATCTTGTTAAAATATGTTTAGAATATTTTTTGTACATACATAATGTATTTTGTAATAATTAAAAATCATAATATTCTTGTAAGGAAGTTGGAATGCTTAGGGTTTGATCAGTCGCTGTTGAGATTATTTTCATCTTACCTAAATCGTCGTTTTAATTATGTCTTTTACAACGGATTTTCATCTTCACCCCTCACAGCAACATCTGGAGTTCCACAGAGCTCCAATCTGGGACCACTATTATTTAGTATATCGTTGAAAATTGGTGTAATGAAAACAAGCTGAATGAATGTGTCTAAATGTGAAGTATGTTCCTATACTAGAAGTATTATATATCTATAAGTTCTTGTAGCTTTGACAATAAACATATATTGATTGAATAACAAGGTGGAGTTTGATTATTTATTTAACAGCCTACATTTATCGGACTTGTGCACAAATTGAAGATTAAGGTATATTATTCAACCAAAAAGTTACTTTTTCGGATTATATTGAAAATACAGTTGCTTCTGCGTTGAAAAGCTTAGGGTTCTTAATTCGTAATACTCGTTCTTTTACAAACTCCTAAAGCTTGGAGATCCTTTACTTTTCTTTAGTTCGTTCCAGGCTATAATATGCATCTCTTATCTGGAACCTTATTTACAATATTCATAAAAGATCATTGGAAAATGTTCAGCGGCGATCTCTCAAGTACCTTTCTTTTAAAATAGATGAGCTGTATCCCATTCGAGGTATTGAAGAATCTCTGCTTCTTTCGAAAATAGAAGGGTAGTTTCCAGTGTTACATTTTTTTATAAAATATTACATAACACTATTGATGTACTATTTTTGATAAATTAAATAAATTTTAATGTTCCCCAAACAGCCATTAGATATCATAAAACATTTTATACAGCAAGTATTTGAACGAACTTGGGAAGAAATTCACCTATAAGGCTAATGTGCTCAAATTTTAATTAATTTTGTTCTGATTGGGATATTTATTTCGACCATTAGTTGTACTAATTTGTACCTAATGTATTTAGGATTCTTTCTTTTCTTTTTTTTTTCTTGCTGTTGCTAAAATTATTTTCTGTCGAAATAATATGTTTAACATTTATTTCATGTATTTTGTTCTGTAAATGGATCAATTTGTTGGGCAATAAAATTATTTTTATTTTATTAAGCAAAAAAATGTTTATTTTGATGCACCTACCACCTTTAAAAGTTTGTCAGTATATTAACGAGAAATCCTATATAATTCCCAAAGAAAAATATTTTTGGAATAAATTCCGAATTCTATTCATTGATATTTGTTATTTTTTAGGTTCAGTGACTCGAAACATGATGATCAGCTACACCAAGAATATCCTTGATACTTTAAAAAAATGGTACGAGATTAAGCAGATTTGATGCTGTCACATTGTGGTGCGAAGATGTGGCTTGTATAAATTTGGGATATCAGTTGATAGAAAACAGTACGCAATCTGCAGATGCATCAGAGATAGCCATATTCCATACCACAATATGTCATGCGTGAACTCGATGAGATTTCATCGGCTAAGTATCATTCCTCTGTAATGTTTTGTATCATTAGGAACACGCAACATTGTAAACAATTATGACCAGGGTTTTCTGACCTTTTCCCTAGGTCAGAGAGAATAAATGAATACTAAATAATGTATAGTAATAAAGATTGAAAATATATATACTTTTCAAGAGTTTTATTATGTCAGCCATAGTTTTATACCAAAAATGAAAATAAACTGAAATTATACATTCATAAATAACTATATTTATAACACTCATCGACTCTCTCCTGGCTAAAATATGACTTATCTATCTATTAGGCTCTGTTCCGTCTATTTTTTGCCTTTAGCCTCCTTCTGACACTTCCATTCGTTCATATTCAGTGTAGTATATGCATAGTTTTCAGAATATCAAGTGTTATACCTATCTGATGCTTGGTCCTGCAAAGTTCATCTTCAGTACACCTGCTTATGTGACATCTATCTTGATGTCAAGTTTGATTGAACACCCGTTTCTTGCCTATTACTCTTATACTTAACCAAAACTAGCTTAGACTTGAACGCATATGTCTAATTCGGCCAAAACACAGCCTTGGTACACAAATATCTATTTTACCGCTGGTTTCATTACAAAAAACTGGAGTAAAGGGTAAAATTATCTCTTGTCCAGTACACTCGTATAATACACTTGAGTATTGCCTATATTATTTTTGATTGAGACGTATACATACATTTAAAAATGTCGTTTACTTAAAAATAAACATTTAATTTTGATATTTTATTTAACTCGATCAAAACATTAAATTATTATTTTCCATGGCTTATACCGGACCTGTATGTACTCTAGTAGCCATGGAGTAGCTGACAGTGTTGCCGTCAGTTGCCGCCACATATTCATTAGTGACATACGTTTTATAAATTCATCGTGTTACAAATTTGTTGACATAAAGAGATAGAAATTTAAAGTGACGTCTTTTATTACTTCGAATGAAAAAAATCGATAATGCAATTTTCTAACCTAAAAAAAATCGTGATGATGTCAAACAAAATTGAACTTGGCCTTAATGATATAATAGATAATACAATTATTCAATACTACATTATTTTACCCTTCCTAAAATTATAAGTCATAAAATTTTATATTTTGATTGGCATTTTGTTACATCTTGCACATACAATGGATGCAAAAAGAGTCTCAGGAATGGTGGAACAACTATCCAAGACTGAGACAGGCCAAACAGTTCATCAAGGAACCATCGGCCAAGTTTACGAAAGACCTACTGGATCAAAAACGACAAATCGTTAGGATAACAGTAGGCCTTCTTACTGGACACTGTCGCCTCAAAAGGCACATGAGTGTCATAAATCCAGCAGAAGAAGCAACTTTGTGCAGGTTCTGTGAAGAAGAAGAGGAAACATCATTCCATGTCCTGTGCCAATGTGAAGGCTTGGCTGGAATGAGGTTTCTAACATTGGGCGAAGAAAAGCCAATTGCATGCAACTACATGCGGGAGGCACTGTCAAAGCTACTAAGTCTAATAAAAAAGACCAGGCTAGACGACATACTCTAAAACAAACGGAGTCCCACAATAGATCTGAAAAGGTCGCGGTGGACAAGGACAAATAACGTCCAACTCCTAATCTAATCTACATCTTGCACCTTGACTGTGTTGTAAAAATGCCAATAAAAATGCAAAATTTTAGTTATAATAAAGTAGAGCTACAAACAAAATCTCGCTAATATAAATAAAATAAAATATGCAGGTATCTATATTACCGACTGAGAAATAGTTGGACAAATCCCTCCTACGTGGGGCTGATAGAAAACATGTTGCCATATTTATACAAAGAAACGGCAACTCTTAATTATCCTTCCTCCATGTCCATTCTATTGTGTTACAGAATAGGTCACCGATTTTCTTCTGTTGTGAGTGTCGTTAAACATTTAAGAAAACTCCATTATTGCTTAGCTAAAATATATTCAAAATGATGTCCAAAATGTTTCCCTTTTCCTCTTTTTCCCCTCTTAAAATATGAATACCCTAAAACACGAAACACGTCTTAAACCATACATTTTCAGTGATAAAAAGTAGCTTATGTGCTATTCCAGATAACCTATGCCAATTTTCATCCAGATCCGTTCAGCTGTTTTGACGTGATTGAGTAACATATATCCAAACTTCTGCATTTATATATTAGTAGGATCGTTGTGATATTGACTTATTTTTAATATTTGTATGTGTTCTTTGTGTTTTTCTGTATGCGAGATAAAAATACCTGATCATGAATAAGTCCAAAAATAAAAAACTTGTTTCCTTAATAATTTAATTCTATAAAATTAAACTTGTGAAAAATAAATATAACAAATTTATTTACAAATGATAATGTACAAAAAAATTAAGTAACTCGAACGTCAAACATCGGTTTATCAACAATGAACCTATTGAAACTTAACCGAGTAAGATCAATTGTCTTAAATCCTCCATCTAAAATCATTTCTGATACCGCTCGTCCTACAGCAGGAGCTTGTTGAATACCTAAAAAAATAAAGGAAATTACTTTCCTGTTAAAATTATGTAAATATAAAATATAGTAGGTATAAGTTATAAAGCTATTTATGCTAAATGTATAAATATTATTAAATATTAACAAAAAAATTAATTGGCTAATGGCCAAAGTTCCTGGTCAAAAAATCCAACCATAGGCACAATACTTTCCTGTTATGCATGATTAATCAGAAGCATATAAGTACAAATTACCTTTGTCACTAAAACCTGTAGCCAGGTACATATTTATGAAATATGGATGTGGCCCAACAATACCATTTCCATCAAAATTATTATAATCATAGTCTCCACTCCAAGAGCCTGTTAACTAAAACATAGAATGATAACTGTCACTCATACATAATTATTAAAAAAGGTGAATTTACTTCATCACAAATATATCAACTTGTAAGACACCAATATTATTATAGAATATATTTTACCTTAACATCTTTAAATGATGGAACTCTTCTTGACAAGCAAGGTAGTACCATATCATTGAAAAATTTTAATTTGTCTTCTTCACTTTCACTGGGAGGTGTGAAGTCAGGATGGGGGGCGGCTCCTACAATAAATGAGCCACCCAAACCTTCCCTTCTGAAGTTTATACCTGTGTAATCTTCAATCATTGGACTATTAATACTTGGAGGGTGGTCTTCACAGTTAAAAGAATAAACAAAACGTTTTCTAAAAAAAATATTTCATATCAAAAACACATCTTCAATTTTAGCTACCTTACATATTGCCCCCCCATCCTTCCCCCACCTATCTAGTATACATCAACAAACATTACACGTTTTCTTTTTGAAATTAATAAACATAAAATTAAAATATATAGTCTAATTTTTACCTTTTTTCTATAGGTAAGGGAACTGAAAGCATTCCAGGTTGTATGCCGATTCCAGCAAGATGGCCTACATTAGTGGATTCATGTCCTGCAGCTATTATGCAAAAAGCAAATTTTATTGACCTGGTTTCTGATTCTTGAGGTAGTTTTACCTTAAAAAATATTGTAAACTAATCTTACCTATATAACAAGTATTAAAAATTTAAAAAAACCGACTTCAAAATCGTGCAGATACCATCACCACATCTTAACCAAATTTATATTGGACCACCCCTAAGGTACCCCCTTACTAACTGAAAAAGAATCATAGAAATCGGACAAGGTGGTAAAGAGTTATCACTAAATATACATAAAAAAATTAAGAGTTTGAGGATTTTGATGGATCCAATTATTAGATTTTGACCAAATTTATATGGGACCACCCCTGAAATACCCTGTCTAACAAAAAAAGAATCATTGAAATCAGACACCGTGTTAAACAATTATCGCTGAACATACATAAAAAAAATATTACGACGAATTGAGAACCTCCTCCTTTTTTGTGGTCGGTTAAAAAAAATTATATGGGACCACCCCTGAAATACCCCCTTTCTAACAAAAAAGAATCATTGAAATCGGACACCGTGTTGAAGAATTATCGCTCAATATACACAAAAAAAATATTACGACGAATTGAGAACCTGCTTTTTTGAAGTCGGTTAAAAATAAGAAGAGGTACTTACAACAATTTCATTTGTACCACGATAAGTTGCTTCTTGTACACCATCCACTAAAATATCTTCTCTTTCTTCAAATATGAAATCGACAGCCTCAGCATTAAGATATTGTGCTCCTAATTCAATTGATTTTCTTCTGAAATATTTTAACATATCCCAAGCATTAAACCAACCCTCTCTTTCTAAGCCTAAGCTACCAACAGCAACATCTGACACATCTAAATAAGGAAACCTAGAATAACATATCTTAATCAGTAATTAAATGTTTCAAAAACTATTTTTTATTCTTGTAGACTTATATACACAAATTTACAATGATTTTAATACCGTTTGGTCAGTTGTTCAGGGCTCAATATCATGTTTATAGCTCCATATTCTCTTTGAAATTGGGAATTATCTATCAATTGTTGTGCACCCTCATCGCTTGCCAGCAATAAGCATCCAGCAGGATTAAAATTTACATTTGCTTCCATTCCAAAATTTTTTTTTAACTGCCTTAAAAATTCGGCCCCATAACATGCCATTTGAACATTCTCTGGTAGTGTAAACTGCTGTTTTAAACATCCCATTGATATTGCTGTGGAACATTTTGTATACTAAAAATAAATATTAGTACCTAGTAAACACTAGAAATGTTAATTTTAATTTAAGATAAAATGAGGCTCACAATATTTTCATTTGAGGTATTCCCAACATAAAATAAACGTGTTCTTTTATGCAAACTTCATTACATATTTATTTTGTTAATAATATCACATCAGTTTGTATTCTCAAGTATAAAAGTCATATTAGACAATACGATTAATAAGGAAAGAGCACCAGTAATCGACACTAGTAGAACATCTTATGGCGATTTAGTGTGTTTTTGGATACACCAGTAATCGACACCCTTTCACCAGTTATCGCCACTCCAGTAATCGACAATTTCATTAGTTATCATCGGCCCAGTTATCGACACTACAGAGACAGCATTAAGAAGTCGAACACCGGAGCCCCATAATACCCAAGTAACTGACAAAAAGTGTCGGAACACTGGAGAATATTCAAAAAAGATACAAATTAATACTTACAAAAAATAGATATAAAGAGATACATAACATAAATAAAAATATTAATAATAATAAAAATAATTATAATATTATTAGGGGTGGGTGGCTCAGTGGTAGAGTCTCTGCCTACAGATCCGAGGGTCCCAGGTTCGAATCCCACCGTTGGCTGTAATTTTTTCATTTAATTTAATTATTTAAAATTAATTCTGATGCCTTGGTAGGATTCCCCACTCGACCATTCACTGTTGGGTTCTTTAAGTGTTGTTCCTAAAGTTGCGCTGGGAAACAGTAACAAAGCCTACACAGAAAACGAGGCGAAATAACCCTAGCAATTGAAGCCGATGACACACACAAAAAAATGTTATTAACAATAATAATAATAACAACAACAGCCACAATAATAGTATTAACGATCGTTAAATTTACTATGTTTAAAGAACGTTAAATTATATCTTTGAATTCATCCATAAGAAGACAAAAAGACTGTGCATGGACAAATATATTTTCATGATTTTTATACACAAAATTAACCTAGATATTTTAAGATATCAGAAATTAGTAAAAACGCGACAGTAAAAAAGAACATTATTAGAGGCCAAAATTAAAAAAAATTAAAAATATTTATTAGAGACTTAACAAGTGGTGAATATTTTTTCTTTCTAAGTTTATAATGTATGTTTTAAAACGTTTTTTAATGAATTCTAATGAGTTTATATTGAGAAGGTACATTTTATATGACTATTGAATACTTTACTCATTTTTTGTGAATATGTTCGGATACTAACATTTCTTCTTAAAAATTGTGTCTGTACATTAAGATTTTCTCTATATCTTGTTTTGTGATGGTGATTTACAAGTTGTAAACATTTTTTGTTTTTATAAATAAAAATAATTATTTGATGCATAAATAACGGTCTAATATCAAGTATTCCTGCTTCCAAAAAAAGAAGTTTTTTCTTAAATGTTATTTTTAAAAACCGTTTCTGAAGTACATCTAACTTTTTTGTGTAACAAAAGATTAATCTAGATTCGATCAGAGCAAAATAAATAGTTTTGAGATGACAATGATCTATATTTTTAAAATACTTAAATTTGTACAGTAATGTCATCAGAACTTTAACTACATTTTCAATATGAATGTCAAATCTAAGATGACAATCTATATACAGTCCAAGATACTTAACTTTTTGTTTTAGCAGCAATGTCCACTTTAGAATTTGATTGTTCTACTGTTAATATATCATAATAAGGTACTGTACTAACATTGTTAGAAAAAGGCACAAAGTAAGTTTTTTCGAAATTAACGGTGAGTAATGTATGACTAAATAAATCAAGTATATTTTTTAAATCATTTTCAGTTTTTTTAAATCTGTCCAGGTATTATCAGAGTAAACAATTGTCGTATCATATGCAAAGCTTATCAATCTACCCACACTTGAATAAGTAAGAATACTGTTTAAATAATAAAGAGGATAGGACCTAACACAGTACCTTGTGGTACACCAAAATTGAATACATTTTCTTTCACTTAGAATATTGTAGATTTTTACCGTTTGAGTTCGATTTAATAAATATGTTGCGAAAAGTTTATTTGATTCGTCTTAAATTCCTATAGCATCTAGTGCCTCCAACAACTGCGTATGAGAAACTGTATCGAAGGCCTTAGCCAGATCCAGAAACACGCACAAGGTAGGTTTGCTAATTTCTAGGGAGTTTGTAACTTCCTGTAGAAGAGATTAAAAAAGAATTGGGTAGTAGAAGAACCGATAATTGGAACAATCTCTTGGGGCTGAGACAGGCCAAGATACTTCTGGGTGAATATAACCAAAAAAGATCGGAAGCCTGCATCTGCCTGAGCAAGAACAGGCTACGTATTGTAACAGGGATCCTTACCGGGCACTGCCGACTAAAAGGACACCTAAGTAAACTGAGAGTAGTAGAGGATAGTGAGTGTAGATTCTGTGAGGAGGAGGACGAAACCTCCATTCACATCCTAACTGAATGTGTAGCACTCCAGAATCCAAGGGCACTATATCTAGGAGGATATCAAATAGAAGAGGGAGACTTACCTAACTTGAAGCCACTTCAAATCCTACACTTCCTTGAGAAAATAGGATTGGAAGGGTCGCTATAGGCATTGAGACATTTCCTTAGTGCAGTGGCGACAGAAGGGGGCACAATAGATCTTTTAGGTCGCAGTGTATTAACACCCCATTATCAACATAACATAACTTCCTGTAACAATTCCGAAATGTTGTCAAGATCCCCTCTTGGAATCCAAACTGGTTGTTGCTTTTAATTTTATTACTTGCAAGAAATTTAGTAATGCGAGTTTTAAGGGATTTTTCAAAGACTTTAGCCAGGCAAGATATTACTGATGTTGGTCGGTAATTTGAAACATTTATTTTTTCTCCTTTTTTATAGATTGGTGTTATTACTGAAGTTTTGAACTCTTGAGGGATACAAGAAGTTGTGAAAATTGAATTAATTAAATGAACTAGAGGGAAGCAATAACAGGTGCAATATTTTTTAAGATTTCAGATTTTATACCATCAATCCCTTATTACAGATTTTATTAATTCAATAACTTCAGGTTCTGTGACAGGTGCTAGGAAAAATTATCTTTGACATTTTTTTTTGCAGACTCAGGTACATTAGAGGGAGACTCGATTTAATTAGTGTATCTCTCACCAACATTAATAAAAAAAATTATTAAATTAATCTGCAATTTCTTTATCATTTGTGGTCAATTAGAATTTTAAATTTTTTTATTTTAATTTGATCGTTAGTAAAAGATTTATTTTTTATTTTCCAGTTTTTTTGAAGAATTCTTGTTAATATCAATAATTTTTTTATAGTACATACCTATATTTTGTTATTTCAATTATTTTATTTTTATTTTCTTTTAAATCATTTGTTGGGTCTGTTCGATATTCTTTGTATAATTTATTTTTTCGTCTATATACTTCACTAAGCCGTTCGTGATCCACCCCTTACGTTTAATATTACTATGCTTAATTATTTTGGCATTTTTGTGTTTCTCTATGAAAAAGTTTAATAAGTCTAAAAAGAATTTGTTAAAGTAGTTGGATCGTTAAAGTTATTAAATTCATTCCGGTTATATTTCTTCAGGTCATTTTTTAATCTAGTATAATCTATGTAAATAATGTTTTTTAGAATTAGGTTGAGATTAAGAGTTTATTATATTTGGTATACACAAAATAGTTGCTTTATGGTCAGTAATAAAATTATCAACAATACTAGAAATGCATTCTTCCAGAATGTCATTTTTATTTGTTTTTAGAAATGTGGTCAACACACGTTTTAATATTACCTTGTACTCTTGTTGGTCTATTTATCATAAAAATAAAATTATGTTCACTTAGTACGTCCATATAGGAGGATGTGTTTTTATTTTCTTGTAAAATATTTAAATTGTTTGGACGGCATTAATAAATGTTAATTCGTCAGCAGACGGTGCTCTGTAAAGTGCAGTTATTTATCTCCATTTGTAATTCAAGCCCTTTGCAATTTCCGAAAAGTTTTGTTTGATATGAAAATCTGATATGTTTTCTTACGTAAACTACCACACCATCGTTTCTATTTAATTCACCATCATTGTATATCATATCATCATATGATATGTTAGCGAACTACAACCACAATACGTAGCAGTCAGTGAACATTGGCAAACTGTTCATAGTATTGAGGCATATCCCCTTGAAAATTACAAAATTGTATCATATTTTTGTCGGTCACACGAAGCTGCTCACGGTGGCGTAATGTTATATTCTCGATGTGATCTCATGCCCATTATAAGAAGTGACATAAATGCTCTCAAAAGAGTATATCTTTGAATGTTGTGCTGTTGAATTTGTATTGAACTATCGGCAATATGTATTATGTATCGTTTACAAGCCCCCTACAACTAGCTTAGATATTTTCCTAAATTCATTGGACCAAATGTTGGAAATTGTCTCACAAGGAAATAACTACATGCTGGTTGCAGGAGACTTTAATATAGATATGCTAAGTAAATCGAATTTAAAACACCAGACCATGTTAAAAAACATGCTAAACATTTATGATATGAAAGTTAGTATTTGGGAACCAACCAGAGTTACACCGATATCATCTACTTGTATTGATAACATTTATGTATCTCAAACTTTAGAATACAGTGCGAATGTCCTAAATACAAATCTTTCAGAGCATAAAGGTCAGCGGTTATGTGTATTGACTGAGAAACAAAAGCCGGAGAATGTAACTGAGGTAAAGCGTTTTTTCAGTTAACAAAATTATGATAAATTTTATGAGTTACTACAAAAAGAAACTTGGCTATGTGTGTATAAAGTAATCACTGTAGATAGAATGTAGAACTGTTTTATTAAAACTTTCCTCCAACACTTCAACGAGGCCTTCCCATTGAAGAGGGTAACACATCAAAAACATAAAAAGAGTAAATGGCTGTCTAATTCCATTCGCGAGGCAAAAAATACTTTAAATTTATTTTCAGAATTATACATACAAAGGCTTATTAGTAAAGA